GTCAAATACTAACAACTGTAGGACAACAAGGATGTCAAAAACTTAAAACTGTAGGAACAGGGGGATGTCAAACACTTACAACTGTAGGAAAAGGAGGATGTCAAACACTTATAAATGAGGGACTAGGAGGATGTCAAATACTTACAACTGTAGGAACAGGCTGATGTCAAACACTAACAACTGTAGACCCAGGAGAATGTCAAACACTTAAAACTGTGGGACCAGAAGGATGCCAAACACTTACAACTGTGGGACCAGTAGAATGTCAAACACTTACAAATTTACAACTGTAGGAAAAGGAGGAAGTCAAACACTTATAAATGAGGGACTAGGAGGCTATCAAATACTTACAACTGTAGGATCAGGGGGATGTCAAACACTAAGTGGGACCAGAAGGATGTCAAACACTTACGACTCATAGGACCAGGAGAATGGGATGTCAAATACTTACAACTGGAGGAACAGGGGGATGTCAAACACTTACAACTGGAGGAAAAGGAGGATGTCAAACATTTATAAATGAGGGACTAGGAGTATGTCAAATACTTTCAACTGTAGGAACAGGGGGATGTTAAACACTTACAACTGTAGGACCTGGAGAATGTCAAACACTTACAAGTGTGGGACCAGGAGAATGTCAAACCCTTACAACTGTGGGACCAGAAGGATGCCAAACACTTACAACTGTGGGACCAGAAGGTTGTCAAACACTTACAACTCATAGGACCAGGAGAATGTCTAACACTTACAACTGTAGGACCAGTAGAATGTCAAACACTTACAAATTTACAACTGTAGGAAAAGGAGGAAGTCAAACACTTATAAATGAGGGCCTAGGAGGATGTCAAATACTTATAACTGTAGGAACAGGGGGATGTTAAACACTTACAACTGTAGGACCAGGAGGATGTCAAACACTTGCAACCTAGGGACCAGAAGGATGTCAAAAACTTACAACTGTAGGAACAGGAGGATGTCAAGCACTTACAACTGTAGGCTTACAAATGTGGGACCAGGATAATGTCAAACACTTACAACTGTTGGACCAGAAGGATGTCAAACACTTACAACTGTTGGAACAGGGGGATGTCAAACACTTACAACTGTTGGAACAGGGGGATGTCAAACACTTACAACTGTGGTACAAGGAGAATGTCAAACACTTACAAGTGTGGGACCAGGAGAATGTCAACCACTTACAACTGTGGGACCAGCAGGATGTCAAACACTTACAACTGGAGGAAAAGGAGGATGTCAAACATTTATAAATGAGGGACTAGGAGGCTATCAAATACTTACAACTGTAGGATCAGGGGGATGTCAAACACTAACGACTGTAGGACCAGGAGAATGTAAAACACTTACACCTGTGGGACCAAAAGAATTTCAAACACTTACAACTGTAGGGGACCAGAAGGATGTCAAACACTAACAAATGTAGGACCAGGAGAATGTCAAACATTTACAAATGTGGGGCCAGGAGAATGTCAAACACTTACAAGTGTGGGACCAGGAGAATGTCAAATACTTGCAACCTAGGGACCAGGAGGATGTCAAACACATATAAATGAGGGACTAGGAGGATGCCAAATACTTACAACTGTAGGAAACACTAACAACTGTAGGACCAGGAGAATGTAAAACACATACAACTATAGGACCAGAAGAATGTCAAATACTAACAACTGCAGGACAACAAGGATGTCAAAAACTTACAACTGTAGGAACAGGAGGATGTCAAGCACTTACAACTGTAGGCTTACAAATGTGGGACCAGGAGAATGTCGAACACATGTGGGACCAGGAGAATGTCGAACACTTACAACTGTGGGACCAACTATAGGACCAGAAGAATGTCAAACACTTACAACTGTTGGACCAGAAGGATGTCAAACACTAACAAATGTAGGACCAGGAGAATGTCAACCAGGAGAATGTCAAACACTAACAACTGTAGACCCAGGAGAATGTCAAACACTTATAAATGAAGGACTAGGAGGATGTCAAATACTTGCAACCGAGGGACCAGAAGGATGTCAAACACTTACGACTCATAGGACCAGGAGAATGCCGAACACTTACAACTGTAGGACCAGGAGGATGTCAAACACATATAAATGAGGGACTAGGAGGCTATCAAATACTTACAACTGTAGGAAACACTAACAACTGTAGGACGAGGAGAATGTCAAACATTTACAAATGTGGGAGCAGGAGAATGTCAAACACTTGCAACTGTGGGACCAGGAGAATGTCAAACCCTTACAACTGTGGGACCAGAAGGATTTCAAACACTTACAACTCATAGGACTAGGAGAATGTCGAACATTTACAACTGTAGGACCTGGAGAATGTCAAACACTTACAAATGTGCGACCAGGAGAATGTCAAACACTTAAAACACATACAACTATAGGCCCAGAAGAATGTCAAATACTAACAACTGCAGGACAACAAGGATGTCAAAAACTTACAACTGTAGGAACAGGAGGATGTCAAGCACTTACAACTGTAGGCTTACAAATGTGGGACCAGGATAATGTCAAACACTTACAACTGTGAGACCAGGAGAATGTCAAACACTTAAAACTGTGGGACCAGAAGGATGTCAAACACTTACAACTCATAGGACCAGGAGAATGTCGAACACTTACAACTGTAGGACCTGGAGAATGTCAAACACTTACAACTGTAGGAACAGGAGGATGTCAAACACTTACAACTGTAGGAACAGAAGGATGTCAAACACTTACAACTGTAGGACCAGGAGGATATCAAACACTTGTCTCCAGCCACAGCCTAGAAACAGTGTGCCGAGCAGGTGAAGATTTGGGGGCTTCACTCCATCCTCAAAAACCCCAGCTGCTTTCTGCTTCTTTGTTGATTTCCTCTCAACTATTTTACTATTGTCATCCACATCTGAAGTCAAACACAATTTAACAATAGAGCTTTGTTAGTCTTATATTACTTTATCTGTCATGAATCAGAATTTGTTTTCTGATTAAGCGATGCTGATATATTAGTTGTTTTGAAAAACCAACTAATTAGACGTAAAAGTAAAAAAAAACAATATATTCCTAGGTAGATACACACTGTTCATTAATAATTATATATAAACAAATTTGACAATTGATAAAAGAACAAAAGCATGTCAAAAATAAATCATTACTAAAAAATAATGCATTTAAGAAATATTGCAGAACATTTAGTATGATTTTTTCTGAACATGTTTCCTCTAACATTCATATGCATTTTATAGTCAGAAGATTAAAGTACAAAGATATTAAACTTAATTGTAATTATAATATCATAATAGATATGATATTTCAACCTTAGCTTGCCTGCCCTAAAATCTTAAACATAATTATATAAGTATTTAGACATCAAAGTTTGTATGTGTAATCTTTCATTACTTCAAAAAAATCGAAAATATTTATAATGGAGAGAGATTTAAAAATGTATGAACACAACCTTGAAACAAAGTAAATGATAAACAAATTAATTAATAAAAGAATAACTGAAAATAAAAATGAACAAATAATGGTTAGTAATAAACAACACTCTTCAACTTGACCAAATTGATAAATCATCAGTTTTAATTAATACTTTTAAGTCATAACGTCAAACATCAGACAGACTTTTCCTGCAGTAGTATCCTGAAAGTGTAACAAAAAGGAAACGTATATGAAACCCTGTGAAGGTGTCATAATGCTTCATCAGGTTGTTTTTCTAGTTGAGTTTTACCACAGTCATGTACCTACACAAACTTTGAAAAATATAGCATTACTGAAACTGAATGTTTTCTTTATTTTCGGATAATAAAAGAAATTTTATCTAGGGGAAGCAGTCTGTATATGGCCGTAAAGATGAAGGCAAAGCAACAACAAAAACTGTTCATACCATATGGGTAACTACCTCATGTTGACCGAAATACATAAAGTATGGTACATGTATTTATCAGTAGTTCTTTTCCTTTAACACTAGATATTTCCTTTGACTTCCAGAAATATGTGATATGATGTTTATCATAATGGAACTGTTTGCATTGGGATATGGTGCATGTAGTTATCTTTTTACTTGAATCCATTATATATAGTACGTTACAAATCTCACCACTCTCTTGGTCTTCATCAGAGGCAAGGTAACCAGTGTCATCCATTAGTTCATTCAAGGGAACTAACTCCTCCTGTAACAGAATTATAGATCAATAACACCTATTAATCTATTTTTAGGGTAAGAATCAATTCAACCTACTATAAGACGATTTAACAATCAGTTGTAATTTTTCACCTATTCCATTCATGAGTGATTGATGAACCTACATGTTGCTAAATGTTATCTCAATGTTTAGTAAATTTTTGTAATATCTACATTCGTACAACTGTATTCAGTTTGGGTAATAATATGTCTTATTCCTTATACCTAAATAGAGTGAAACACAAAATCAGAGACTTGTATCCAACAAACAAATGAGTTACCATTCTTTGTATGAAGATTTATTTTTTTAATATTTCAATGAACTAATTAAAATGTATGGATTATTTTGTAGTACATGTACTTAAATCTATTACCTGTAACTGAGTGGGATCGGGTTATCTCAGTTGAGGGCTAGTATCCTGTAACATAATCCCAGCCAAGAGTGAAGACTGGGATGTTACAGAATCTTAGCCTACGACTGAGATAACCCGATCCCACTCACTTACAGGTAACTGATTTTCTTTCTTGAATATTTTAGTCCAAAAAACTATTCCATTTCACTAAAGTCTGAAAGTATCTCATCTAGGGCCTCAAATAAATATGGCCTATTCACTACAAAACCTTCCTCGTAAAAACCACATTTCACAGTGTAGATTTTATTTTTTCTAAAAGTAATTTTCAATCACAACAAGCTCGGGAAAGGTAGGTATATTTATTAGTATGCGTCTACCGGTTTGGCCCGAACATTGAGCTATTTTACCCCTAAAGTTCTAAAAATGTGGGCCCTTTTTCTATTGTTACTTGTGACATCATACAATTGATGACATATGATCTTATCTAGTAATTAATACTCTACATGTTCTATGACATTCCATAGTGTTCCATCAAGTGTTGTAAGATAAACATTTACAAAGTTATCATCATAAAATTCATGATGGGTTCAAATTGTATTTTTTCTACAACATCAGAACAGAACATGTAATGACAAAACAGAATACTAGGTCTTATAATGTGGATTGTCAATTTCAAGCCGTTATCATGTGGATGAATAAATCGTGATATGAAAAAGTCTGTGAAATGTCACATAAAGATGCCAGGCTGATCAGATGAGATAGAAAAATCTAGCACAAGAAATCCCGCGGGATATTCCTGTTTGAAGTGCTAGAATAATTTCTCTAGGGCTGCATCCGTTTATTGCGATCCAAACAGTCCGCACGGTTGGATCTGAGTTGATCGTTTATGAAATAGGTCGGACATACATGTAATAATCTGTTACTGCTTTCAGGCGAGCCTTGACAAAGCCTTGCAAGGCCTGCATAAACTTTTAAAGGTCCGCCTGGATTTATACCCGAAAATGTTACATTTAAAGACAGTCAAACCGGTTGAACCAGACACGTGAAAGGAGCTTAAAATAACTTTGATGTTCCTAAAATGAAAGGGGCTTGTGGAATCAGTCATATGATCACCTGAGGACTAATCCCAAGTAGCATGATTGAATATTTAATATACTGACATATACAGATGTATTAGATCATAAAATACTATGATGAAAGATTAAATATGCAGACAGACCTTGCCAATTTGTTGTTGTGCTGCATGTGCCAGCTGTAGTAGTTCTGTGAAGAAGTAAATCAACAAAGCCTGAAATAAACAATGTGATCAAACATTTCATAATAATTACAAACAATTATTAACTCTAATTATTACAAAATCAAGATCAGTGTTAACCAACTACAGTGTGTATATATATGTGTATGATTTTATTAAATTCATTTTTGATAACATAAAATTTAAAATGTGTACCAAATATAAAATCGTATTTTAAAAATACAACTTTAAATTACCCAAAGATACCAAAGTTAAGATTTTCTTTTTATATATAATGATGTAGTTGAACTTAATTCTCACCTGCATACATGCTCCAAAGAGGAAGGAGACGAGGAATGGGTACAGACCAGCTTTAGTTAGTGTCACTGGAAGTCCTAAATACATATTACTGTACATGTCAAGGGTGTTAACAATGTAACTTTATCAGTACATGTATTTTCAATTACATGCATCTGGTATACCAGTACAAATATATGTCTTTGATTTTATTTCGATTTGCCGGTACATCTATTTGAAGTTTCCATAATTTTTATTAGGTTGTCTCTTTACGTATGAAAAAATAGATGGAGTAAATCAAACAAATAATAGCCATTATTAATTTGGGATTTTATCTTTAATGTATCATTAAGGACCATCAACTTACCTAAAATACCGGTTCCTAAAATAGTCGCTATTGTTACAAAATCTGAAAATGAAAGTTTGATAAAAAGAGATGCATGTGCCAGGTAATATAGTTATGCTAATTATGATATATTATGTTCATGCTTGGATAGTATTTATACTTGTCTTTTGACATATGAATGATCATATCACAGACTTGTCATTAAAATAACACTTCCAATTCCAATATATATCATTATGATATGATTGTGCGAAAATTTCATATTTACTGGATTATATGTAATACAATTTCTAGGTAATTTACTGGATAATAAAGCTCACAGAGATAACAATAAGATACATGTAACCATAAATTCATTTCTATATTTCAACATATATTTGCAACGCATAAAACATTAAAATAAATGTGTTTTGCCTTACAGCTAGGAAAAGAAAATGCAATTGCTTTGAACCACTGGACTTCTAAAATCTAGGACATTATGACAATGTCATTGTTGACATTATCATTCTGACATTGCCTGGATTGAAGTATGAAAATTGTATCTGATTATCTTCAATATTTTTAAGGAAGCACCTTCAACACACAAGAAACACATGGGTGATTTTAAAAGGAACATGTAGTACATGTGTGGCAGATTTTAATTGTACTTAGGATTAAGGTCGCCTTAAAATTTCCCTTTTAAGCTCAATGGTAAGAGCGTCCGACTAGGATTCTAGGGATCGTGTGTGATCCCCGGTGGAAGCACACTGTTCTCTTTCCTGTTACAAATGGTGTATGTGGCCTCCCTGTGGTGACAGGGAGTTAGAACCTGGGTCGTGGTTTTCGAGGGCGAACACATTTAAAAAGGGGAATCAAAATGAGTCTGAGTGAGTGAGTGTGGCAGATATTAATTGCATGTACATAGGATTTAAAGGTCGCCTTCTTAAGCTTCGAGCCAGAGGGAATTTCCTTTTAGCTCAGTGGTTGAGCGTCCGACTAGGAACCTAGGGATCGTGGGTTCGATACCCTGTGGAAGCACACTGTTCTCTTTCCTGTTACACATGTATCAAATATAAATCACTGCATATGTTCTGGTGTGTGTAAATGAAATTGATGAAATATTGCTTAAAATGAAACTGTTTAAACGTAAACGGTGAACAAAAATGATTGTGGTTTGCGTTAAATACACTAGAGTGGGAAAATAGGCAGGAAATTGTTGTAAAACTGTGTTTTAGAATCTTTCAAGTCTACTTTCAGTTTCGACAATTACGTACAGTAAGTACTTGATAACGGTTATACTCACAACATTGAAGGTAAATCAAAATTGTCCCTTTCCCTTCAGCAACGTGAACCTGATTGTATTGTGCCATGTTATTGTTTCGAGTAGTTTAGTCCGCTGAAACTGTTTTTATTATGGTGTTGCAAGTGTTTATATTCAGTTGAAACGTCCACGTCCTTTCCCTGGCCGCCATGTTGGATATCATAACAGATATTACTCCGCATTTGGCATAGCTATTTTACTGTTGATAAACGTATTTAACAAAGTACGTATCTTTCACATATACAAAACGAAGAACAGAAGATATACAATGTATATCTTAATGCTAACATTTAAGATGAAAGCGTTTGTTTCTGCACTATGTTAAAAAAATATGCGTACTGATATCCGGTTCAAATTGCAGATGTTGTTCGGCTGCCGGCGTGTTTTTATCGAAGTCCACAAGAAAATCACTAAATTTGGTAAATGTCGTAATGTGCAGCAATGTCAATCGGTTCAGACCGTAGAAATGGGTTTTTTGTTTGCAATGCGATTGCAACTTCACTACATATTGCTTTAGTATGATTGCAAATCGATAAGAAATTAGATGCAACGAGTTATTTTATCATTCAATATTTCGAGTGTTTTATCTCTGGATCTAGTAGATGTAGAGATGCCCACTAGGTGTTTTAAGTAGGACGATAACAATCTGTTTAGCAATATTTATCATATGCAATATGATTCTACAATGGCACTATGATACATTGATATTACAACAAAATATTTAGATTAGGCACAGATAATTTTTAAATGTAATACTTTATCTAGTCTGAGTTTCCTCTGGCCCTAACACCAGACTTTTGACATTTAAGCATATAGATGTCTGGTGTGGGGCCGGAGCGTATACTAGGCCTATAAGAAAACGTGGACTTCTCAGACACCGTTATGAGGTGCTGACAGCAAAAATCTTCTATGACAAAAAATTTACACATCATAACCAGAGCTCATGGATTATTCATTGATTCAAATCCGCTCTTATTAATATTATCACCACCAGCTTCTTAATTTCGTAAGTAGATTCATCGTTTTTCAATATAAATGAAACAAGCCATACTGATACGGTGGGCCGAAAACGTAATAAATATCATTCTTGTTTAGAGAATTTCCGGACTGTAAATAAATAAAAGCATCTTTTTATGCGCCCGTCAAATTTGACGTAAGTATTATGGTATAACGTCGTCCCTCCGGTGTAAACTTTTGTTTGTCGGGCAATCTCCTCTTACATTTTTCAAACGATCTCTCTGAAACTTGTTATACATTATAATCGTGATATGAAGTGTGTCTCCCTTAAAAGAATTTTGAATCAACACTCAGGAAATATTTGGTGTTAGGCAAGGAGATGCACTTTGGTCCTTGTACTCTAAATCACAGGAAAATGTGTTTTTAAGTAAAAAGGCATTGTGGTATAAGTATGAAACTTTAACAGATTAAATATCACCATATAACTAAACTCTATGCCAAGTTACATGCTTATCCCCAAATGCCTTTTATGTACAATCAGCGGATAACCATTGGAAATAGGCAGAACATGTGATAAAACAATGAAATTGGTTAACTTTAACGATTAAAGCAGATACTTTCCTTGAGGCTAGGAGGCTTAAAATTACCAGCAAATCAAACTTCATATATTAAATCAATCATTTAACAGTAGTTGTGGTGGCAAATGCCATTTATGATTTGCAAGTTAACTTTGATAAGTAAAAAAACCAAATCAGGACCTGGAACTCACTTCAGCCACAGGTGTTGAGCAAATATTATATGATCAGGGGCTAATCTAGGATTTGGGGAACACTACCCATTTTGAAATGAGGGGAATATCCAGTCGCCAGGCCTTCGAACGACTGCCGCAGGCAGGAGCCGGGGGAAGAGCATGAGAAGGGGGCGGCTAGCGGGCCCCTCTCGTAATGGGGAGTATGGGGGGTCTCGGACGAAAAGTGATCCCAGATAAAAGATAAACAGTATTGTGAGGTTTTTTTTTTTTATGTTACAATGATTTAATCAATTTTATTTGCAATTATATTTATTTTCCCCTAATTTGGGGAAACTTTCTCCTTCTTGGGGGAATTTTTCTTGATGAGGAATTTGTTTTTTATTCAGAGGGGAAAACAGTCGTTAATTGTCCCGGGAATACTACCGAATTTCGGTAGTAAAATCAGTCTAGATTAACCCCTGATGATATATATAATATACAATTCTAGCAATTGATATCTTATACTTATAGCATATAAAGGGTGTCACGCACCTTTTAATTCACTTAAAATTGAGAGATATTTGAAAAAGCCAAGTTTGAGATGTGTCCAAAAGCCATAACTCAGTACAAAACAAAAGGAAAGTATGTAGTCAATATGCAATTTATGTAAGTCTACTTAAATGAGTGAAGTTGTAAATTTCAAGTCACAATATTAATTAGAAAGGAAATTATTGAGAAAACAAATTACTTTTCAATTGAAAATGACCGAAACGACCCCCCTGACGTAATCTTTCGTTTCATATAAACAATCGATCTTTAAGTGACGATTGAATTTCTGTCCTTTTTCATTCCGTTACATATGCTTGTATAATTTATACATGTTTTCAAAAGCAGATATGATATTATTTTGGTTTTTAAGCTCATTTTGAAAACTGCAAACTATATTTGTGATTTACCATACCCCTTTTGGTACCCCCAGAAACCCACTTTCGGTCAAAGTTTTACCTTAGTTTTTCCGCATGTCATACAATAGGACATATTTGAACAAAATAAGGAGGTAAAAATACGAATATACCGGGGCCCAAAAAAGGGCCTTATAGACACCCTTCCTTTGAAAATTTTTAAAATCTGTAAATTAATAAATATGGAAATATATTTCACATGTAAAGTGTCAAAATACAAAGCAATTCTAGACTTCTTTAGTTTAATATTGGCTAATTTTGACACTCAAAAGTTGATATTACCATGGGAAATTTCTCGTTCCACAAATGCCCATGTTGATCGAAACCAATGTCTAGAATTGTGTCATATTGCAATACATTGCATTTTGAAAGTTGTGTGCCATATCCTAATTTTCACATGCCCTTCATTTTAACTTATGATAAACCCCTCCATCATAACCCCTCCATAAATAGTGTGACACCTTTAGAGGCTGGATGTGATTAATTATTTCCCCAACAAGACCAAAATAGAAATATATAAGGTCAAAGTTTACAGCTGCATGTTGATTGTTCCAGTATATGAACTGCGAGACTATATATATATAGCAGTATCTTCATTAAAATTTCGATGATTTTTCTCCTTTTTTCTTCATTTTTGAAAAATAAAGTACTAATTTGCTGGAGAAAGCAGCATGTATTCAGCTGTAAAAATGGTAAAAAGAATGCTGAGGGCAATATACTTATATTTAAAGAGATCCATATTCTAGCGCAATTACCTGGTGCTCTGGCTGGCCTAGCTTTGTGTTCTAGAGTTTACTTATATAATAATAAACTTTATTTATTGAAGATAAAAAACCTGTTTAGCAAAGCTAATCTTCCACAGGGGTCCTCTGTTAGTAAAAGGGTTAGTTAAAATCATGATATAATATATAGAAAACATATGAACATTCAAATTATTATCACAATAAGCATAGGCATAAAAGTAAATGAGCTTATTAATTTACTATAATTAGACTAAATATATATACAATTAAAGAGTCATTTACACTTTTCATTAAAATTATCACAGAAGCAAAGATACACTATTCTAAGCTGAACCAATATGGTATTCATGATCAGTAAAATGTCTAAATTACATATATGCTAATGTAGCAAAAACTAAAAATAATTAAGAGTTTGGGTTTGGTATTACAAATACAATTTCTATGCTTTATGTTATTCAAAATTGTATGGCACTAATTCCGTAATTGAGCAGTTGGAAATATTCACTCTAAACAAAACCTGACATACTTCAGAACACTCATCCGAGTGTGCTGATTCTTCTGCTAAAGGAGGGATATACTAAAACAGAATGGAATTGTGGCAGTTTTAGCCCACCTGTAGCACTAGATGATGAACTGTTTGATTTGTCCTTCATCTGTGGTCCGATGTAGCCTGTGGTTCAACATATCTTGTTATCACCAAGATCCCTATCTATGTAGCATCTGTTGTATGCTGAAACTTGTTGTTCTGGTTTTGTTTCAACATATTTTATTGATTTTATTGGTCTGCAGATGACTTGCTTTGTATTTTTTAATTCTGAATGTTATGGATAATTTTGCAACATTTGTTGTCTATAGACCGTGCTTTTTGTCTGTTCAAAGTTACATATTTCTAGTATAGGATCCACATCGCTATCACAAGGAGGCAAGTACATCAACATACTCCGTCTCCGGCCCACATACATGCACGCTTACACAACACACATGGAGGCACGCCTTTAAATGACCTTGGCTGTTAATAGGACGTTAAACAATATAAAACTAAACCATCCCTACACCAGACTCTTTATTATTCAGATACAAAATAAGTACAAAGCCCACATTGTTCATGCATAAGAATTTTTGCCAAGAAATCAATATATAACAAGTCTTTATTTTCCAAATGTTGTCTAGCCAAAAGCAGAGTTTAAAGATCTGCCAGAAACATGTTTATGGGAATATGTATGTCATTTAAATGTCTTGTAAGCCTTAGTGAAAGTTTAAACTCCCATTGGTTCAGTGTAAAAAGTATCTAGAGTCCTTCATTGTGTTAAAAACCTCTAGTCTTTATATATACAAAGGTAGGTATTTGTGTAAAAAAATCTAGATCTGGACTTAAAGGTAAAGTTGATCTAAAGGTCTTTGAAAATATACCTCTCTTTGTCCTTGTATCAGACATTGGAATCTTCTAGAATGCTTTGGTATAGGCCTTCATGTAAAATTATACTCAAAAGGTCTTTAATATTGTAAAAACACCATGGGCTGATTGTAAAAACAACCTAGTCATGATGTACATCATTTAATCATAATGTTATATTTTCATATTAGTGTAAAAAATTATTGTATTGATACAATAATATATTGACAAACATTTCACAAAGTGAAAAGGAATGAGATCGACTGTTGAATTGAAAAACATTTTTAGGTCAAAAATACTTGACAAGCTTTTGAAGTTATGGAAATGTTGAGTTTGTAAAATACTTCTCATATAATGTTGATGATATGTTTGCAGACTCTGATATATGCATATTATATCTATGAATATTTGGATTTTAGTTCTGAAGGTACATTATATTTATATATATATTTATATTGGACTGAATTATCAAATAGTGTAACAGATGTATGTAGAAGTAATATATATAGATTATAGGGCATTGACAAGATATAGTGTTGTACCAGTGGATTTTTAACCCTTTCCCCACTGTAGACCATAATGGACTCATCCATATCAATGCATGAAAGAGTCTACTTAAGTTACATAGGGGTGAGCAAGTTAATGGTATTGTTAACTTGCCTACCCAAATGGTAAGTGAGCTAATTAATACCCTGTGGTGTGAGGTCCGTCGTCTGTCTCAGTGTCTGTCATTTTTTCATTAAAAAGCCTATTAGTCAAGAATGGATTTTGACCAAATTTGGTGTGGACCGTTGCTAGACTAAGGGGAATCAATTTTGTATTGTGGGAAATGGATTTTTTACCTAAGTTGGTAAGGAGTACCCTAAGGCCAAAGGGATTCAACTTTGGATAAATGGAGGATGTGGCTATTGCAGGTGAAAAGGGGATCAACTTGGGCCCAATAGGGTGAATATAGGAAAAATAGGATTTTTTAGGGTGGAGCCTAATCAGGGAAAATATATATAGGTATAAATTATCCATTTACTTTATTATTTGACCTGGAGGATTTGTTGAAGTGAAAAAGTAGTTATAATATATGCCATTTGGTAAAACGGTTGTTAAAAACCTGATTTTATTAATGCATGTTTATTGTCAGATGGATTATTGTAAAGTGTTTACTTTTTGTGATTAATTGAACATATATTAATTTATAAATGCAGTAGGATTACAAACTCTATCTGAAATGCTTTAATTTTTTTTAAAACTTTAAACATTCACACACATTTATGCAATATGCTCTTAAATCCATTTGTCTGTTTCCTATAGAAATCTATATACAGCAGGTCAGCTATTAATTCCTCTGGGTCCGTTATAAACTGCTGATTATAAAACTATAAGAAAGAGTTGACAGAAATTAAAAGGGGGGGTTGGGATCCCGGATAACTCAAATATAAATATTGTCAATATCATATGAATAAAAGTAGAGATACAATATGTAGCATTACAAACAATGATAACTGGTGCGGTGGCCAAGTGGTAAAGGCGTCTGACATTCTGCTACCACTAGCCCTCCAACCACTTGGTCTCGGGTTTGAGGTCTACGCGGGGCAGTCGCCAGGTACTGGCCGTAGGTCGGTGGTTTTTCTCCGGGAACTCCGGCTTTCCTCCATCACCAAAACCTGGCACGTCCTTAAATGACCATAGATATAGATGTTAATAGGATGTAAAACACAAACAAATCAAACCAAACAGTCCAGTTCCAGTATACATATAAATATTAAAAAATCAAAATACTTTAACATTTGTGAGAATATTATCAAGTTCTCATAAAATTGTGTTAATATTTAAAGTTTTGTATCTTTTGCTGCATACCATTTACTTGGTTCCTACATCTTTTAACAATCTTTTTCTGCATCAGCATCTTTCAGAGGTTACGACACAACGACAGTCAAAATGGCACTAACAGAGGTTTCCAGTAATAAGATGTTTGGAGGATGGCAGAAGGTGTTTAGCCATGAAAGGTATGGTTATATTCTGTTTAGTGACTTCGGTTACCGATATATTTCACTAAAGTGAAACTAAACTAAGTTGTTTTGAAAGCAAGAAAACCATACCATATAGAGGATATTTAATGGTGTCTTCAGTAATAACAAATATATATATTTCACTCGTGTGGCTAATGTGCACTCGTGAAAAGTATCAAAATATTAGCAACATGAGTAAAATATATTTGTAATTACTGAAGACAACATTAAATTTTCAATTTATTACATTTCTAACGCATGAAAAATATAATGCATTAAAAAAGGGCTGGAATCTGAAGCGTAATAATTAGCTCCATATTCTTATGACGTCGCACTATTTGACAACAAGCTAAGGTTGGACGCCATTTTGAATGGGATACTCTGGTATGGTTGCTTATAAAAATGTTATTAATTGTATATTCATGTTAATACTTAAGTGTGTGTACCAAACATTTACCAAAGCTTGAATCACTTATTCTACCGTCGCTTCATCTGAATCAGAACAAAAAATTGTTGCCTTTGAATGCAGCGAATAGCAGATACCGTTATGATTGGTCAATACCAAAACATTTTTGTTTTTTTAACACTGAAAATATCACTTTTGATATTTGTCACAGTGTGAAAGATATAACTTAATAAGTTTTATTAAGTTGATAGAATCCGTTTTATTAAGTTGATAGAATCCGATATTTCACTGTCAAAAATGTAACAAATAATTGTCATTATATTCTCCAACTAATAGCAATAATGATGGGAAGCTTTCATCTGTCTGTCTGCACTTTGGTTTCTACAACTTCTGTTATTTTCCATAATTTGCTTAAATATTATTAGATTCTGATGAAACTTTGTCAATATTTCTTCTCTTCAAAGTTAAAGGAAACCCTACATCATTGTTCCCAGAAACCCCAAATGAGTGATTTTCACCCTCAAATCTTGAAAATGTATCAAATACACTCCCAAATCTAAAATTCAGTGGGAACACTGCATATAATTAACATACTCATCAATCGTTTCCGCATTGTACTTACTTAATCAAATACAATGTTTGGCCATATTCTGATGAAAGGTGGTCAATATCAATTTAAAATTTACAAAGCTTAATTAAAAGTTAAGTCAAATTTGAGCAAAAGCTATGTAAATTCAGGAGCTTCTTAAGTTTTAGTTTAGATGAATTGGGTTATGGGCAAAATGAGGCAATATGTATACTGTACAATTGGAGTGTCTTTATAGATATTAAAGCATATTACTAATCCTTGGTTAGTAAAATGTAATGTTTCCTCCTTTTCTTCACATCTAGTTAAAAAGCTGGAATAGCTACCAACAAAGTTCATGTTAACTTTAAGAATATGCTTGTTGAAATATCTTTCATTTACAAAGTTCTACAAGTAGGTATTTTGACTTTCTGAAAAAATAATGTATCAAACAAGATGGTGTTCTAAAGATATCCTTTAATAGTGCTATATGGATCAGAGATTGTTGTTTCTCATTGTTCATTTAGTTTTTTGATGAAAAAGAGCTAAGGTTTCATTGTGAGTGAGTTTCTGATTAATTAGGGATTTTTTTTCAATCACTTGTAATCCTTTCCTAGCTAGTGTCTGAAATAGGTTCAACACTTTACATTCCAAGAACAATTCAACTATTCTGACTTAGATATTGTACAGTGTGTGGTATTGTACCATTAATATGTTTCCTTTTTGTTACATTTCGATGGTAAATTAATTTTGGTTCTGAGTTTGACACTTTTTTATACACTCAGTTTATCAATCGGATGACATTTGATCTCAAACATTGTAGTGCCGAGCTGAAGTGTACAATGAAGTTTGGTGTGTTTATTCCTGCCAAGGCTGAGAGTAAGAAAGTACCTGTCGTGTACTGGCTATCAGGTAACAATAAACCTTCACCCAGCCTGAGACAAAAATAACCTTTAGCTATCAAAATTAGGCAGCTTCCACACTATGTATATACACTACTGTATGTCAAAACTTCATAACAAAATAATGACAATCAATTGCTTCTTGTATAAAGAACTGTGATTAATGATGATTGTGAACCTGAGACTGTGAAACTGTGATTGGGCAAACTGACAAACTAAGAACCTGTGGCTATAGGCTTACTGTGACCCATGACTCTAGGCTAGCCATGAACTTGTGACTATAGGCTTACTGTGACCCATGTCTCTAGGCTAGCCATGGACCTGTGGCTATAGGCTTACTGTGACCCATGACTCTAGGCTAGCCATGAACCTGTGGCTATAGGCTTACTGTGACCCATGTCTCTAGGCTAGCCTTGAACCTGTGGCTATAGGCTTACTGTGACCCATGACTCTAGGCTAGCCATGAACTTGTGACTAAATGCTATGAACCTGTAACTCTGCGTTGTAGGCCTGTGACTATAGGCTGTAACCCTGTTACTATAGGCTGATGTAAACCTGCCACTTCAGGCTTGCTATAAACCTGTGACTCTAAAGCAAGATGTGAAACCGACTACCCTGGTATAGGCTGATGTGAACTGTCACTATAGGCTGTGAATCTGTGATGACTCTAGGCTGTTAGCCTGTGACTACATGCAGTGAACCTGTGACAGGGCTGTAAGCCTGTAACTACATGCAGTGAACCTGTGACAGGACTGTAAGCCTGTGACTATAAAGGCTGTAAACCTGTGACTATAGGCTGTAAACCTGTGACTCTAGGCTGTGAATCTGTTGCTCTAGGGCTGTAAGCCTGAGACTAAAGGCTGTAAACCTGTGACTATAGGCTGTAAACCTGTGACTATAGGCTATAAGCATGTGACTAGGCTGTAAACCTGTGACTCTAGGCGGTAGGCCTGTGACTATTAGGCTGTAAATCTGTGACTATAGGCTGTAACCCTGTGACTATAGGCTGTAAACCTGTGACTCTTAGGCTGTGAATCTGTGGCTCTAGGCTGTAAGCCTGCGACTAGGCTGTAAACCTGTGGCTATAGGCTATAAGCCTGTGACTAGGCTATAAACCTGTGACTCTAGGCTGTAGGCCTGTGACTATTAGGCTGTAAATCTGTGACTATAGACTGTAACCTGTGACTATAGGTTGATGTGAACCTGCCACTTCAGGCTTTCTATAAACCTGTGACTCTTAAGCAAGATGTGAATCTGTGACTATCCTGGTATAGGCTGATGTGTTTCCTGTCACTATAGGCTGTGAATCTGTGATGCATGAACCTGTGACTAAAGGCTATGAACGTGTGACTATAGGCTGTAAGCCTGTGACTACAGACTGTAAACCTGTGACTGTAGGCTGTTGTGAACCTGTGAATATAGGCTGTTGTGAATCTGTCACTATAGGCTGATGTGAACATGTCACTATAGGCTGACGTGAACACATGTCACTATAGACTGACGTGAACATGTCATTATAGACTGTTGGGAATCTGTAACTACATGTATAGACTGATGTGAACCTGTCACTATAGACTGATGTGAACCTGTCACTATAGACTGATATTTAACCGTGTCTATGATATGTGTTATATATATATTTACTGTGTATACGTATAGGACTGACCTGTACAGAACAGAACTTTTTGACCAAGGCTGGAAGTCAGAAGTATGCTGCAGAACATGGACTCATGATTGTAATTCCTGATACTAGTCCCAGTAAGTATGTCTTTTCAGCAATACATATTTGTTCAGCTATTCACATTCCATTTGCAAAAATTCCCAAACTTATCTGAAACAGACATTAGTTGGATGGAGATTGGAGGGGGAATGGGTGCACAGAAATACGATACTCAACCAATTTATTGCAATTATTTTATTACTTAGCTTGTTTTGGGAGTAGATATATATGTACAGTTTGAAAGAAATTTTAGTTAGCCTATTTTACTGTTTAGGGTTATTATGTCTCCTCTTTGAATGAAGGGAGACATATTGTATTAGTACTGGTTCTTCTTCTTCTGGTTGTTCTTCTTCTGGTTCTTCTAATAGCAACTTGTCTGGGCCATAACTTTTTAACCATTAAAGATATCTTGATCAAACTTGAAGTATACCTGCATCACCCACAGAAGGTGTGCAGTGCACTAGAAATAAGTCTCATGTTTCACTATATACAGAGTTATGGTCCTTTGTTTAATTGTAATACCGGAACATATCTTCCATGTTATTTCACCTACCTTGACCAAACTTTCTATAGTTTCTTGTATCTTGGGAAGTAGGAGTGTTGCATTTTAAATTCGGGTCTTGTGTCCCGCTATATATAAAGAGATATATGGCCCTTTATTAATTTTGTATACCCAAATTTGTCTTTTGGCTAAGGAGAACATGTTTTTGTTCACAAAAAACAAAATTATAGTCTAACAATAAATTGACCAGAATGCATATGTTAGCTTTTCATTCAAAAGTTCAAGAGTGAGATTTAAAGGAAATGTCAAAAAATACGAAGACTTATGTTCATTACAAAATAATGAGATGACTTGTTAATTTCCTTCTTGTCAAAATATCTTTTTTTATGTTTGTCTTGTGCACACACTCTTATGACAAGTTTATACAGTTATGCTGATCCTTTAAACTTAAATTCGCTGCAGGGTTATTTTCAAGGTTGTAGGCATGGTTGAATTAATGCAACCAAAAATGAAAAAAACATTAATGCTTAACATCCTCTTATCTTAAGTACATAGAATGATTACATGTATGAACTGTGCATGTTATGGTAGCAGTATACAGTAGAAATGGTCCGACTCTGATAAACAAGGCACATGTCGAGGAAATGTAAACACAGCGGATTTACCCTACACAACACATGTATACATGTATATATATTTGTAAACTGCATTACAATTGCTATTTTTAACCCAAAATTTGACCCCCGCAACTAGTAATTTTTTTCCTAAGCTCTGTCTGAAATTAAAGATTACCTACCTGGTTGCAGAATTATCTGGGTCCCAGTAAAATTGTAAAACTTGTTTTTTTGCAATTTTGTGTCGTGTGCTGTTGTCAATATTTTACCTCCTGTAAAGCTAGCTTTTCATGTGTACGCACCCTTTCGGATTATGGCAAATTTTTTATTCTCGAACCAAAAAAAATCTTCTTTCTTTTTAACAAATGTGAAGTTCACATAGCCCACTTCATCATGCTTATACCAATTTTAGTACAGTTTTATTAGCTCACCTGGCACGAAGTGCCAAGTGAGCTTATGCCGTGGCGCGGCGTCCGTCGTCCGTCCGTCGTCCGTCCGTCCGTCCGTCCGTCCGTCCGTCCGTCCTCGTCCGTCAACTTTTCCTTTAAACAACTTCTTCTGAAGAACGGACAGGCCTAGAGTCATGATATTTGGCTGAAAGCTTCGTTGGTAGGAGCCCTACAAAGTTTGAGAACGAAAATGACCTTGACCTGTTTTCAAGGTCACAGGGGTCAAATATGTCAAAAACTTCAAAC